CTATTTCAAAGTTTTTTTTACACTATTTGTAGAAGCTGTAGTGTTTTGTATTAAAATTGCTCTTATATATATAGATTACCGATAGGCTTTCATGACAGTCAATTTCTGAACTATTTTAACACAGTACTTGAAATATTGCAGAAATGTTTGTGTAGTTTTGTTTTGTGTTTGTTGCTTGCATTTTAAATGAGAAGTGCATGTATTTATACCATGAATAATTAAAATCAGTAACATGAAAATTGCATTTATTAATCACAAATTTTATTACATAAATATCTCCAGTGCTCTGAAGGTTCAGGTGATACAGTTATTGTATTAAGTTATAACAAAGCAAAAGTATCATATTTGTACAAATTAGCTGAACAAGGCTACCCAATCTTACAGTCTGTGATATTTGACAGAAGTCATGTCTAGTTTCTGTAACTTCAGGATCTCAAGTCAGATGCTATGATTGTATTTAAATGTCACTGGTGCTTGCTGTTTATTAATAATAAATTTGTGTAGATATTTTATTGTTTATCCTAAACAAATTAAATTAAAGTAAAAAAATAATTGTAAATTCATATTAATTTAATAATCTATTACTGGTTAATAAGTAATTTTTAAAAATTGTTTTCATTGTGCTATAATGTGATCTGTCCTGCTAATAAATAATTAATTCAATATAAAGTATTGCACGCCTGTTTTGCCAAATTATATCTGAATTTCAGATCTCAATTCATTCAATGTCTTGATAATAGGTTTACCTCTGCATGACATGCTTGTTGAATATACACAGTTTTTTTCTGTGAGGAGGAATTTTTAATGAATTTACATGCTCATGTAGGATATCAGATTGTTTTTAATCATCGATGGCAAAAAGGTAGAAGAGAGTGTTTTAACTAGCTTCTTGTTTCTGCAGAGTGTGCTACCATACTAATTGTGTGTTGTTTTCCTTCCTGGCAATCCTACCCGGCCTGCTTCTCGCATAGCAACCACAACACAGGCAGCTTGTGAAGGTAAGTTATGCTGAATACATGTTGCTCGGAAGAAGAATTTTACCACCTTATATGAAGGCACTTATAACAAAACCAACAGAAAGAAAAGCATAATCATTATGAGTCAGCATCTGAAATTTCTAAAACTGTACTTTTTTTTTATTTGAGGGATATGATTTGTGTTGCATTTGAACAATGTTCTGTGTTGTATTTATTTAATGTGTTGGATGAAGATTTGAAGTCTTATAGTTACTGCATAGGTTTTGATAAATTTATTGCTGTTGCATACACAGATTGGCTGTAAAATGTAGAATTCAAGCTGCTTAAAGCACTTTAAAACAAATTAATTTATAATGTTTTTTAAATGTTAAAAGTAAAAACTTTTAAAATTTATTATATTAATAGACTGTAGGAACATATATAGATACAGTATTATACCATTGGTAAAGAAATTTTTTCAGTGATGTGGCAATGGTGTCTGCTGTAGGACTGGCTGTTCGTACCATTTTCCATCCCCATTGCTCCTCACATGTTTAACGTAGCAGTTTTATTTCTTTTTGCACCATACTGTCAGAAGTTCAGTGTTTATATATTTTTGCTGCTTTATAATATAAAAATGTAATTTTTAGTTAAAGATCTGCCTTATTAAGAGAACCATGTTCTCATGCTTGGAAGAATAAAATTTCTGGTCATAATCACTGAAAGTAAGTTAGAAATATATTAAAATTATTAAAGAAAGATATTTTAGAATTCTTGGGTACACAATCATTCCTTCCTATTAAGTCATTTGAATGAAATTACATGTGTCCCTTTAGCCCACGAAAGAATATCCTTTAGATAAAAATATGTAGCACCAAAAACAGAACTATGTTGATTTTATTTAAATGTTTTAATAAGCACTGCACTGCAAAATTAACACTAGGAGCATCAGTTTCTTTATGGGTGTTGGACTCCTATCTCGATAATTAGATTAGTAGATTAGATGAAGACAATATGGAATATAGTTGGCTGTGGTGTTAGAATGCTTTCCTGTGAAATCTGGTTTATTATGTAATTGGGAATAATTTAGGTAATTACTAGTGTAAATTATATTCTACTTTGATAAGATTTTATACATTAGAACATTTCCTTAGATCATATCCATCCCTCCGTATGTCAGTGCAATATTACAGGATCAGCTTCACTAATTTTACCATCTGTCATTACTTATAATTATAGAAATTTATTTATTTATTTATTTAAATTAAAGAATACACTTTGTTACAGATAGTGCTGGTTTTATTCTTTTTCCATAGTCTTGTTTGATTGTTGTATTTAATAACAATTATTGTATGAAAATTCTAACATTACTATCCATTACAAATACTAATGATAAGTTTACTGCGGTATGCTTAATTTTTAATAGGGTGTACATTTTATTAGCAACTTTTGGCTTTAAAGAAAATAAGCAAACATTAACATTTTTTCATGAAAGTAGTGTAAGAAATACCAGAATACCACATTCTTACATCATACATTGTGGTTTTGGAGTCGGGAGAAAAAATTGTCAAAATTGAAATGTACCTTGACAGGTAAAATGTGTGCAAATGCAATTGTTTATTAAAGTGTTCTTTGTTGAATTAAACTGGTATGCTAGTATGAAATACTGAAAGATTTTTATGCTTTATCATAATAATCTTTACAGTACTTTTTTCCATTTTTTGCACAGTTTGGCTACTAGGTTAGGACAGTAAATTGTCTCTCATAGAAATAGACATGCTATTTAATAATTTGCCATGAAACTATTGTTATATATGAGTTTTATATCAAGTATGTGTAAAATCTTTTGTAATACGTACAGTTTGTGACTGCATAATATATATTGCTGTTCCGTCACTGAAATAGGAACATTACGCTCTACTAATATACTGGCACATAAGTTAGACAACTTGTTGGCCGAAAAGTAAATAGTAATACATTGCTATCCAGGTGTCCTTGAGATACTGGGTCATGGTAAATGATTGGAGTGTGCCTGTTTGCATTTTAAACATGTAGAAAATTCATTTTAGAAGGACATGGTAGAGACAAAAGTGTGTAGCTTACATACAACTTGCAGCCTATGAGTTGTAGGTTGGTCTCCATCCCGCTGATAAGTAATCCTGACATGATAGCATTGATTTCACCTACAGTCTACCTGTTCCTCACGTGTGCTGTTTTGTCACTGTATTTAGGTTGAACAAACTGACACAGGACGATGGTACGAGGTTCCCAACCAGGTAGCTAAATCTTTATTATCATGTCTCATTTTCTTTTTTATTCTAAGTGGTTTTCATCTGTGCATATAAACTTCTTGTGTCATGCTTTTCTGTTATTTATGCTGGCAGGTGTTAACGAGGTTTAACTATGTTGATATATTTCTAAACTCTTAAATATGCTGTACACCAATTACAGTTCAGTTTGCATGCTTTTCTTCTGTTTGGAGGTGGGTATCATATTGTGGTCTTGACTGAATCTTGTGAAAGCATAACTGAGTCCTAACCAAGAACATGGTACTTAGCAAATTTTATGGTTGCATGCTCTATAGCTATGGACTTGCTTATGTATAAGCCATTCCATTCTAGTCCAAAGTATTATTTTCATGGATGTTTTGAAAAATATTACTGTATTAACTACATGTGTGGTTTGAACAAAACCAGTGGGCACATATTTTGTTTTCTGGAAAATGATACTCTAGACTTGCCAGTCATTACCATCTTATCCCGTATTCTGCTGCTCATAGTGTTATATACTTACTAAGTAAAAACAACATTGAAGAATAATTCAACCACAGTCAAAACTGCATTAAAAGTCGTCCATTTTACTCCTTTCTGCAGGAAAGGATTTTTTGCCCCCCCCCCCATGTACTCTCAGTAGTTATGTTCAGATTTTCCTCTATGATTTCACATATACTTAAATTTAATACCCTTACTGCAGTTAAATAAGAAAAAATGTAATTTAAATATTATTGTGTACAAACAATCTAGTAATGGGAAGCATTTTGCATGCTCAGTTGTAGTTCAGCATGATATATAATGTATCTATGTGTTAATCCAAATTTTTCTACATTTTAAACGTGCAAAACTGAATATGTTAATGGCTTAAAATTCTTTATTTTCAAATTTAAACTCTATGTCAATTGGATTTTCTGCATGCAGTTAAATATTGGTATCATGTTGACAGTTGTTGCAGTAAGTTATATACAGGATTATTCATAATTCCCTGACACATTACAAAAAATCACTAGACTTGAATGGTGCAATGGATGGTAACATAGGACATGCTGATAGAAAGAGAAGTTTTCCAAGTTTATTTTACATACCTAATAAATGCTCTGTGTGTCCGCCCTTGTGACGAGGCAGATGTCAAGCCGATTATCCATTTCCGCCCATACCCCCTGCAGCTTGTCACGATCGATTTGTGTGATGGCAGCGAAGATTCGTCTTCGCAGTTCAGGCAGATCAATCAGCATTTTCCACAACGTTGGATCGGACGCATGGCTGACAATGACCATGAGCTGTTTCGTTGGCCACCCCGATTACCTGACCTGACGCCACGTGATTTTTTCTTATGGGGTTACTTTAAGGACCAGGTTTTTGTACCGCCTCTGCCACGGGATCTGGCTGAGCTGCGAAGACGAATCATCGCTGCCATTTCACAAATCGATCGTGACATGCTGCAGCGGTTATGGGCGGAAATGGATTATCGGCTTGATGTCTGCTTCGTCACAAAGGGCGGACACATAGAGCATTTATGAGGTATATAAAATAAACTTGGAAAATTTCTCTTTCTATTGGCTTGTCCTATGTTACCACCCATTGCACCATTCAAGTCTAGCGATTTTTTGTAATGTGTCAGGAAATTATGAATAACCCTGTACTTGGTAATACATTGATGTCAAAATACAAATAAATATAGTTCTTTTACTTATTGATATGTCTGCTCTGTGAATTTATTAACAGTTAAGAAATATTGGAATATAGAATGTGTATTTCTCCAGAACTTATTGGAATAGCAATGATGTTATTGCATTAATATTTCTGAACTAAATCACCATTTATTATAACAAAGTCCTAATATGTACTCTTTCATGTAAATACTTTCTTCTGAGGGTTACTTGTGTTTGTAAAGGAATTATGTTTTCTGGGATTATATATAACAAATACGAGACCAGTATTAATATTTCCCATTGACTTCTGTGATATATTTTCTTAGTATTTTAGTAAAGAAAAGTTGTGATGAATTAGTTATGACAGAAAAGTACATTTCTTTAAAATTTAGTAAAATTGCAGTGGGTCAAAATATACAGGTAAACAATCATTTACTTGAAATATGTGGTAAGTTATATATCTGACGTGGTTCAATACCATTGGAAAACTAGAATCTGGAGTTTACATATGCATCTTCTATAATATCATATTAGCTGTAATGTTTTTAAAGTGGAAAATTAGTTTTTGAGAGAGATGTGACATGCACTGTTTCACTGCTTGCAGCAAGGCACAAAGGAAACTGTGGTACAACCGCAGCCGGCCCATGATGGACTTGAAGGTGGTACACCTCCCTCAGGAACTGATGGTTAGTCTTAAAAACATTCAGATGCCTTTTGAGCACTATAATAGAATATTGCGATAGGATGATAAATTGTCTTAAAAATTTTTAGGTAGTCCCACAGTTATCTGGACTGTTTTACTGTCCTGAAGATTTCTTTTGGTGTGAATGTAATTTACTTTAAATTAGGTGAATAGAAGTAGCAAATACCATACCCCTGGTAATACCCATTTCATAAGAGGCTGGATGGGTCCCAGAGCCAATCTTAACCCTGGCCATCTGGTCCTTAGTCAGTAACCATACTGACTCTGCTACCTGGTTCCTACTTTTAGCTGCTTCTAACTTAATTTTCTTAAATCAGTATATTGCAAGTATTGTTTCATAACATACTTGGTGCTACACAAATAATAATGTAGCCAAATTTTCTCATTCTACAAGGAAGAGAGGGCTTTCAGAAAATCAGTTTTATGAATACACATCTTGTGTCAAATTCCATGCTCAGTTACTTTAAAAATCCCTAACTCAATGTTCATCATGAAACTTGCATTTAATTTGTTCCACTGAGATACTGAGTTATATAATGTTAATATTTTGTATTGCAGATAGAGGGAGAAGTAGGAAAAAAAAGCGTGATTTCTTCGGCACAATCAAGAAACGTTTAAATCGTTCCAAGATCCGCTCCAAATCAATGGATCCTGGGGAGCGAGATGAATCTCTGAACAGAGATACTTCACTCAGCAGATCAATATCTGCTGATCGGGCAAGAGACCCATCAGCCCATTCCACCGGTAAGTGAAGAAGTTTCTGTTTTTATTGCATTAATTTTATGGAGTTTGCATGTATTTCACATGCATGTGCAGTCAGCTGAAATAACACACTTCAAAATCAAATTGCTAAAATCAATGGGTGAGACAAATAAATGATTGTAATGTGTGATGAGAATAATGAAAATCCAGGATTTACCAACAAATATTTACAAAATACAATGTTGTTCCATAAAATAATTTATTTATATTTATTGATGGTGGTCTGCATATGTGGTTTATAATTGTGACTGAGTCTGTTTGCACCAGGTTCATACATTTAACATTTATCAGCTGTGCGTCACAGCTTATGCACAGGCGAGGTGGCTGTATGTCACAGTAGTGTACCACTAAACCATTAATCTTTGAGTGAAGTCTGGCTGACACCATGTAGTGTTGAGGGTATAAATCCTCCTCTTGTGCAATATAGGTTAATGTACAATGGAAGTGTTTTATCTGTCTGTCTGCCTACCAGCCTGCATGTTTTATCTCTATTGAAATTTAAGTAATTGGTTTAATATCATTCTGGTTCATTAGAACATCTACATGTCCCTTCCCCAACTTTTGTTCCCATTCTGCACAATAAATATTGTTGTCATTACTGAAGAGGTAAAACTTCGTAACTGTGCCTGAACCCTTGCAGCAGCTTTATCAGTTTGTTTAAATTGCGGCCCAAGGAGCCACCTCATCACTCTGTCTATTCCTGTAACTCAGTGGTCCCCAACCTTTTTGTACCTACGGGCACATTTGAGAGTTTATGAGATCATGGCGGGCACCAACCAATTAACAAAGCCAAATTTTCTTTTCCCTGGACAAATAAGATATGGACACCAAATAATACACAAAACAACACAACGTTTAATGACACAAGAAACCACGCAATCAAAAATACGTACTTTTATAAGTACAATTATTATTACTCAAGTGGGAAGTTAGTGTGATGTTTGGTGCTGCATTTCATCGGCCAGTTTTTCAAATTTGGGAGTGTAGGATGATGTTGCTGCCTGGAAACAATCGTCAAGATGGGCACCAGTAAGTTGAGATCTGTGCTTTGATTTTATAAGGTTCATGGTTGAACGGCCTTCATTATTCAGTATAACCTCTTTCCGTAACAACACGGACACCGAAAAAAAGAGTCTTGGCGGGCGCCCGCGGGCACCGCGTTGGGGACCACTGCTGTAACTAATTACAAAATAGGGTATTATTTATGAATGCCACTTGATAAATATATCTGCTGCAAACTTTGATATTAATGCCACACGAGATGACTGGCATATGTAGTGTAGAATAACAGGCATCACTCTTTTGATGCAGTATTTTGATTTGAATATTAGATTTTTTTGTGGTACAGTTTTACGAAGGTTCTGAAATTAGCTTTAGGTGATATAATTTATATAAAAGAATACAGAAATTTTATAAGTTTTACCAAGAGCACATCTAAGCATCTCAGTATTTGTCAGCATTATTTTTTCATGTACAGGATAAATACCTCTTCTTTTATAATACAACTACATGAGTGCTGTAAAGACATGCATGTCATTACTGTTAAGTGACTTCACCTATATGACCCTTGCGTTAAATCTTATGTACAGTCCAGTTTTACATGCATATCACTAACTTACTGCTAAACTGTTAATCACAGAATTAAAACCTAGCTGACAGCCTTGTAATAAATAAGTCCTGAGCATTTTATACTTCTTCTTTATATTTTAAATTTTTTTAAATCTTTCATATAAATAACATCACAAAAGTTGTGTTTCATATTTTATACACTTATTTAGTAAATAAGTGTGACAAATCATGTAATATAACTACCAAATTATTATTAAATACTGTTTAAAAATAATGTCTATAGTGCATGTAATGAAATAACTTATGTCAGAAATGATCATATATTTATAGTAAACCTAATTAATATTATGGCCATGTCCACTAGTTTAAGTTTTCAAACACATTTAAGGAAGCTTAATCTGTTTGCATCCTCAGGTGAAAAGTTGGCAAGGGGAAATTCTATTCCGGTGGAACCGAGAACAGTTGTAAAAGGCCCTTCAGAATTGAAATTTCTCCACTGTCATCTTTCAACTTGAGTACATAAATAGATACACTTTCTAAAACGTTGTATTTGTAAACCTTTACAATGGTGGAAAATTTCCAGAATATTTGTCACATAGACAGTTTTATGCCATCATCAAAGAAATGTAAATTCAGCATATATTTATAATTCATGAGTATCATGTTTGAGAATTCAGAATTTCCACACATTTGAAGGCCCTTTAGTTTTCTTTTTCTTCTTTTTTTTTTCATATAAATGAGTTGAATTTTTGACAAATTTAGGAAAATAAATTATTTTTATACTATGGCAGTTCTAATATGCAATATGCTTTACTACTTTTTATATGTACTTGCACTGCTTGTTATAGATAGACTTACTTTGATGAACCTAATTTGAATAGTTTCTTCCATTACAAACATTGCATTGCATTCCATTCCATTGCATGTAATTGTTGTTTTTGAAATTGTTCTAATAATGTTTGTTTTACTTTTCTCATTCTTTGTCGTCTGTTTCTTCGGTGAACTCTTCTTGGTAAGTCCAATACTTATATGTGAATTTTGTAATACTGTACAGTTTTAGATATGTAATTAATTGGGTTATATTGAACAAATACTCAAGTTCCAAATAATAATAACTGTTTTGTTAGATGTTCCCCTCTTACTTTTTGTCAAAGTTCATATGGTATATGGTTAAAAGTAACTTATGGGTGTTAAATACAGAAGATTAAAATTTAAATCTACACAGGAACGTGATGTATATTATGCCCGTGTTTCTGTTAAATTCACACATTCATTTGCACCAAATGGCCTGTTTCTGATTAAATATGTGCAGCAAAGTTACACTCACAATTTTATGTAAATATTTTAGATGTGACAATAATTTTTCTAAACATGATTAATTTGTTTGTAAACATCTTTTAAGCTTGATTTCTTCTGAGAAACATGTGTTTGCAACAAAGCACTGTGAAAAAAGTTAAATAGGAATTGAGTACCTAGAAATAAATACATTTACAAATAGTGCGATGAAAGACTTAGTATTTTGTCCATTCTAGCATCAGATTTTATAGAATCTGTTAGACACATATCTTGTGAGTGAGACCTCATCAATAATATTGGCATAAATATTTCCTTCTAGATCGTCTCCTTTTTGTAAGTTATTTGTGTTTATGTGATGTATTTAGTACAATAATATAAAAACTAAAGTATTTTGGTGAATAACGTTATAGGAATTGTACGTTCCCTGGAAATGTATCAGCCAGTGTTGATTACAATATTGAGAATATTTACATGTTATTCTTTACATGAAAGAAACATTATTGATGACAACATAGATAATATTCAGTTTTTGATCTATGAATTTTTGTCCTCTTAAATAGATTTGCACTTTGTGGTTTCACCAGTTATATTTTTTTATTAATATTATTTTCCATACCAACTTTTCCTGCATGTCATGAGTAAAGTTCTTTTTATGTTATTTATCAGGATTCTTTTTTTCTTTGGGTAGGATACCTTACAGTGCCAGGTCTGAGGGAACTGGATGGGTCAACTCGATCAAGTCTCAGTGAAGCATCAGGTGTTAGTGGAGCTTCAACACGGACTTATGTCAATGAGGCATCAACACTGGTTCTAGAAACCATTGAAAATGGTGTAAAAAAGTAAGGAATAGCTCTTGTTTGTGTTCAGGATATTTCTTGTTGTCTTTAATGCTTCCTTCACTTCTTGCTCTGAGCATTTGAACATGGACATTATATATTTAAGAGACAAGGAGGAACCCTTTCCAGGAAGGAACAAACACTGGCAAAGAATATTTCCTGTTCTAGTTATTTCATTGTATATTGTTTATTTACATGCTCTGTGTTTTCCAAGTGTGTTATTTTGCAGCACAAAAAAATTGCAGTCTCTTTGTGAACTACTGTGCTCGATTTCATATTACTACTTAAAATTATAGACAACCAGAGACCTTCTTCTATGGCTCTCCGATCCGTATTCGGTCCATGGCCTCCTCAATTCTCCTCTTCTGTTGGGTCCGTCTGTCTGAGGCTTTGATCGAGGTTTCGAAACATCTTCCTTTTTACAGTGCAAGGTTGTTAGCCTTGCAACCAACCCCCAACCTGGAGGACCAGGGTACCTGTCTTAGTCTGACCTCTCCCTTCTCGACCAATCTGGCTAGGGAGGCCCTACCAGTAGCTATGCTTGGGGTCACTGAGGTACTCAAGCCCCACCACCATGACAAGGTGCAGGCACCATTAAGTGGGGACAACCAGAGACCTAAAATGGAGTTATTAAAATAACTTTGTAATGGTGTAGTTGTCCCATCCAGTGTGTGTGATGAGATGGTACACTAAAATAATTCTGTGTTTAAATTAAATAATGTATTTACTGTATTATATATTCTTCTTTCACAATTTTCAGACATTATCTTGTACCACTTTCTATGGCCCAGAAGAGTAAATGGCGGAAGAAAGGGATCAAACTTCACATTTTCAATGATCACACATTCATTGCAAAACATCTGCCTGGGTGAGTAGATGTAATAGCCTCATTAATGACATGCATTTTTGAGCAAGTTATTATTTGAGTACTCGTGCCGTTGAACTAACACTGGGTACTTCATATTACCCTCATGACATTTTAGACTTGTTTACTTTTCTCTTGCTTTACTTCATGGTGCTATCAATTGGTGAAATTATATACTGTTAAATAATATGATATTTAGTTAATAATAATTTGGAAGGGATGTGGAAGGAAGTGGCGACAATGATTTTATATGATTTAAAGGTGTTCCCTAGATGTTAGTCAGTATGAAATTTAGTATTGATATCAGATATGTCTGTATTGATATTGAATTGTTTTATTGAATCTGACATGAATAATTTTCTCTAACTCATGTTTAGCTTTGTTCATTAAAAAATAAATTGGACAGATGTGACAATCTGGCTGTATGAGAATGAACTAATGGCGTAACAGTTGAACACCAAAGGGGTACAAACAAGCGCTCTTACTGTCTTACCCCTTTTCACTTGCCTGCAGAGAACTTATACCCATTTTCTGCAGATATTCCATACTTTTCATGCCAGAATTAATTTTCTCTCTTTGCGCTGTGAAAACTAAGAGTTGGCCCTGTGTCTACACTTCGTATTTCAACACTGATTGAATCTATTATAAATCTATTACAGTGGCACCACATGCCAAGTATGCAGTAAGTCTGTGGCAAGGCGGCTAGGGAAACAAGGCTATGAATGTCGGGATTGTGAACTCAAGTGTCACAAGCATTGCCATATTAAAGTTGACTCTAATTGCACCAATTCAACTATTCAGAGCATTGAACTGTAAGTATTAATAATCTTTATTATTCATTCAGAGAGAAAGCATTATAAAAGCACAATACTAAATGTTGGGAACATGTTACCTAAAGCCATAAGATCTAAATGGAGCACATAGCCTGTGCACTAAATCACAGCAGTAGATGTGCATGAAATCGTTGTTGTGTCTGGAAGTATTACTGTGAGAGCCCAATTAAATAAAGCTTCTATACTCTTTGGATTTGGATATATGTTAGCTGTCTTGTGCTGAAGGTATCCCGATTTATAGTTTCTGAAGTGTTCGGAATGTACCGTTTTAATTAGGGAGGAAAACAAAATGATTTTTGACATTTGTAGACCTTGTAGAATAAGTATTAAAGAATTTTAGATGATCTTTTTTATTTATTTTTTATATAAAAGAAGCATTTGCATATGAGTAAACCAATCTCATTTAGTGATTAAATGATCACTGGTTACTCAGTTTATATGAACATGAAGAATAATCTCACAATAGTATTTTAACTCTTTGATTAAAACATCTAAAAAGTAATTCTTTCTCAACATTATAATGTTTAATGTTGTTTTAAATGTACAAAACAACTTTACTCTTTTATTATGAAGGTTGTGGAATTATGGAGCTATAGTTCCACATAAAATTACCACTGAAAAAACAACAGTACAGAAATTAAATTCTTAGAAGGAAAGCTATAAATCATTAGGTGACATTAAGATGTATTAATTTTTATTAAGGAATTAATATCAGATTAAATGCTGATAACAAATCCTGGAATGTTTGTAAGTAAATAAGAAATTACATCAGTATTTTCACAAATACAGACAACTTTCTGGTAACAAATTTGAAATATGTTGTAATACAAGATTTATGGTGGTTGAATGGTTCAGTATCTATTAACCTTTATCACGTGGGAAAGGGCAATATAAACACACATACTGCAGGCTGCAGGCCAGACTTTATGGTTGACAGGTTAGTAGTATGTAGTGTGACGCACTTAAAGCTGGTCTTTGCATACGATGTGACATGAGGATGATAAAGGTTAATGCTTCCATTGAAATACGTTTTGTCCCCAATGAAAGAAATTCTTGCCTGTGTATTATGGCTGTTATAAAATGCACTTGGGCTTTCACCATTTCCTTAATTTATAAAAGAGTGAGATAAGATTTGGTTACAACCTTTTAGTTTACCGTATTTGATTGATATAATTTCCTTTACAATATTTTAATGTGAAATTCTTTTTTCCTATTCCTGGTCTCTACTGCCTGTACTGAGTGAATAGGTAAGCTTGATGCCTCCTCAAATGGCATGTTGTTTGAAGATGGATAGCAAATCTTTCTTATATAATCCTTTGGAATGTGTTTTAGTATGGACCCATTGTTTGTTTTGTTATGGTTAGGGTGGCCATATCTGCAGTATTAGATTCTACTTGCTAGGTTGATATATAGTCTCTTAATGCAGTAGATTCTTCTGGGTTTCTAAATTTCCCAATAAGAAGTCAGTGTTAGATTCTGTTAGTGCCATGGGAAAAATAAACTACAAGTTACAGTCCACAGACCAGGAGAAAATCCCCGCTAGGAATTTTATATACGCGCATGCGCAAGATTTCGCGGTGAGTGACGAGTTGCTATTACCCATCCTAAAAGCATTCATTCCATAACCACTGGATGAACAACAGACAACAGGCTTTAATGTGTTCTAATAGGTTCAGCTTTAAGATTACCTCACAGTGGCACAGTGATTGAATCTAGAATATTATCGCAACACCCACAGAACACATTAGAAGTGCACTCACTACACGCTACTCTTAACGGCTTGATGTTTTCAGTCTGTGTGTAGTTAGTGTAAAACTCTGGCGTGTTACACTTCCCACCAGTAGCAGCCCTCTAGTCCACCTGATGGTAAACATTCCCCCTGCACCGCACCAGAACCGACTTCCCTCCGCGGGGATTTTCTTGTGGTCGGTGGACAGTATGTTTCATTCTGTTTTGGTCCTTTATTAAGAGCGTCAAACAATAAGGGATAGCATAAATATTTAAAGATTTTTAATCTTAAAATTTTAAATATTGTAAGAGGGTGCAGAACATGCCACTGAAGGAGTCCAAAATTATACTATCTTAAATTCTGATTTGTCTTACCAATGAATTGTTACCATAATTTACTCTACATAATGCTTCAGCTGAATGGTTTTAACTGCCTCAAAATGAATAAACCAAATATGTGGCTCAAATGCTTCTAGCCTTTGAGATTACGTTGTGAGCCAGAGTAGCTCATTCATTGAATGACTACAGGCTGGATGTC